TGCTTGGTATATACTCAAATGAATTGAAAGCAGCAACTCAAAGACATAGGTAAACCAATGTTCACTGCAGCATTACTCACAATAGACAAAAGGGAGAAACAGCCCAAGTGTCCAGTGCAAGAGGAGGGATAAACAAATTGTGGCATATACATACAATGAAGTATAATTTAGCTATAAAGAAAAATGAAGTTCTGATACATGCCAGCACATAGAGGAACCACAAAAGCATTATGCTAAGTGAAATAAGCCAGACACAAAAAGGCAAATATTGTATGATTCCACTTATATGAAACATCTGAAGTAGTTAAATTCATCAAGACAAAAGATTTGTGATTTCTAGGGGATAGAGGAAGGGGAAAATGGAGTGAAAATCATCATAGTGTCCACTTAAAACTGGTGAATTGCATTTTATATGAATTATTCCTCAATGAAGATTTTTTAAAAATCAAAATACAACTAAATTAGTGGACAGAAATAACATGTAAAGTCCTTTTATTGGTTGGGAGGAGAGTTGTTGCTGTTAGATGCTGTTGAGTCTGCTCCAAGTCATAGCAACCCTATGCATAACAGAACAAAACACTGCCTGGTCCTGTGCCATCTTCACAATTGTTTCTAGCTTGAGCCCATTGTTATACCCACTGTGTCAAACCATCTTGTTGAGAGTCTTCCCCTTTTCTGCTCTCTACTTAACAAAGCATGATATCCTTCTACAGGAAGTAGTCCCTCCTGATAACATGACCAAAGTACAAGAGACAAGTCTGGCCATTCTTGCTTCTAAAGAGCACATCAGCTAAACTTCTTCCAAGACAGATTTGTTTGTTCCTCTGGCAGTCTGTGGTATATTCAATATTCTTCACCAACACCATAATTCAAATGCATCGATTCTTCTGTGGTCTCCTTCATTCACTGTCTATCTTTCAAATGCATATGAGGCTACCGAAAAAACAATGGCCTGGGTCAGGCACACCTTAGGCTTCAAAATTATATCTTTGCTCTTTAGCACTTTCAAGAGGTGTTTTGCAGCATATGTGCCCAATGTAATACTTTGTTTGATTATCCTGACTGCTGCCTCTGTGGGTGTTGATTGTGGATCCAAGTAAAATGAAATCCCTGACAACTTCAATCTTTTCTCTATTTATTATGATGTTGCTTATTGGTCCAGTTGTGAGGATTGCTGTTTTATGTTGAGGTGTGATCCATACTGAAGGTCTTGATCTTTATCAATAAGTGATTCAAGTCTTCTTCACTTTCGGCAAGCAAGGTTGTATCATCTGCACATGGTACATTGTTAATGAATCTTCCTTCAGTCCTGATGCCTTGCTCTTCCTCATATTGTCAGCTTCTCAGATTATTTGCTCAGCAAACAAAGTATGGTAAAAAGAAACAGCTCTGATACATCTTTCCTGATTTTAAACCATGCAGTATCCCTTTGTTGTTTGCATGACTGCCTCTTGATCTATGTGAAGGTTCCTCATGAGGACAATTGAGTGCTCTGGAATTTGCAATGTTATTCATAATTTGTTCTGACCCACAGTCAAATGCTGTGTATTGTCAATAAAATGCAGATAAACATTTTTCTGGTATTTTCTGCTTTCAGTCAAGATCCATCTAACGTCGGCTTGAACTTCTGGCAGTTCCCTGTCAATATACTGCTGCAATCACTTTTGAATTATTTTCAGCAAAATTTTACTTGCATGTGATATTAATGATATTGTCTAATAATTTCCATATTCTGCTTGGATTATCTTTCTTTGGAACAGGCACAAATACAGAGCTTTTCTAATTGGATGGCCAGATAGCTGTCCTCCAAATTTCCTGGCATAAACAAGTGAGCACTTCCAGTGCTGCATCCATTTACTGAAATATCTCAATGGGTATTTGCCAATTCCTTCAGTACAGCTTGGACTTCTTCCTTCAAACCACTGGTTCTAGATCATATGCTACCTCCTGAAATGGTTGAACGCTGACCAATTCTTTCTGGGACAGTGACTGTGCATTCCTTTCATTTCTTTTGTAGGTTCCTGCATCATTAAATATCTTGCCCACAGAATCCTTCGATATTGCAACTCATGGCTTGAATTTTTTCTTCAGTTGTTTTAGCTTGATAAATGTCAAGTGTCTTCTTCCCTTTGGATTTTCTAACTCCAGGTCTTTGCACATTTCATTATAACACTTTTGTCTTCTTGAGCCATGCTTTGAAATCTTCTGTTCACCTTTTTATTTGATCATTTCTTTCATTTGCTTTAGCAATCCTACATTCAAGAGCAAGTTTCAGAGTTTCTTCTGACATCCATTTTGGCCTTTTCTTTCTTTTTAATGACCTGCTTTCTTTACAAATGATGTCCTTGATATTATCCCACAACTCTCCTGGTCTTCAGTCCCTGGTGTTCAATGCAGCAAATCTATTCTTCAGATGGTCTTTAAATTCAGATGGGATATACTCAGGAGATAATGATTAACTGTTTCTGGAGTACCTGTTAAAATCTAAGAGGAATCACCAAAAGAGTAGAAATACCTACCATGAAAAACTTCCATATCAATAGAATAATAAAGAAAAGTTAATAAGGAAAATTTAATCAGTCAAAAGAAAGCAAAACTTAAAATATAGCAAAAATCATAGAAAAAGCAGAGTAAATACAATGTCCAATATAAAATAATAAGAATAAATTGAAATATATTAATAACTGAAATAAATATAAATGGACTACATTTTCCAATTAAAAGATGAGTATTTTCACATTAGAACAAAAACAAAATCTAATTTTGTAGAAGTATCACCTCAAACAAAAGGGTATAAAACTTTTGAAGCTGGAAAGAGACAGATGAATACTGACCAAAAGAAAGTTGATGTAGCTGTGTTATTATTATTAGCCCAATCACACTTTAAGGCAAAACACATTAGTATAGATAAAACAATACAAAGAACAATTCATAAGAAAGATGTTACAATTCTGAACATTAATTTACCTAACAGTACAAATATATAAAGCAAAAATCAATAGAAGGAAAAATTGATAAATCTACCATCATTATGGAAAATTTTAATACACCTTTCTCAGTACTGATAAATCAAACAAACCAAACATTTATAAGGGTACAGAAAATTCAACCAACACAATTAATTAGCTCAATCTAATGGATATACAGAGCTCTGGTGGTGCAGTGCCTAAGGCATGTGACGGCTAACCAAACGGCTGACAGTTCAAACCCACCAGCCACTCCTTGGAAGGAAGGTTGGGCAATCTACTTCCATAGTGAAACTGTCTCGGAAACTCAAGGAGGGGTTGCTATGAGTTGGAAACAACTCAACGGCAGTGAGTTTGGTTTTGGTTTTTAATGGATATACAGAACACTGCATCCATTAATCAGAAACTGTATATTCTCTACTTATACATATACTGAGTACATACCAAACCCTAATGCAAGACTTAACAAATTTCAATCAATATCATATAAATCGTGTTATCTGACCACAATGCAATCATATTAGAAATTAACAAAAAGGTAACTTTACTACCTATAAAAGATATTTAGAGTACAACTGCAAAAATTTAGGTAAGGACTAGGTATTAGATATTATTAGGACATTATTGTTAATTTCTTAGATGTGATAATTTGGTTGCTATTAAAGGTTAAGTAGGGTAAAGCCCTTATCTAAGAAGATGTATTTTAAAGTTTTACGGGTTTAGAAAAAAATGTATATATACAAACACAAACATACATACATATAAAGCATATATAGAAAACCGTAATTTGTTGAACTAGGTGGGTAGTATAGAGGTGTCTATTGCACTATTCTTTCTTTTTTTTTTTTAAATGTTTGAAAATTCTCATAATAAAAAGTTGGAGGAGGAAAAAGAACTCTAAAACAATCCAAACATTTGGAAATGTAAAAATCTAATCAAACCTGATCATCTATATTATCCCAACAGAGCCCTTCTAAAGTTAAGACAGCTAGCAAAATTGTTCTTTAACTATTTCATATACTCATACAATTTTGTACCCAACACCTACTGAGCTAAGCGTTACATGTTGGTGTATTAGTTTCAATTAGGTCAAATTTTTAAATTGCATTTTAGATGCTTATATATACTTGTCCCTGGTATTTAAAAAAAAGTTCAAGATGCATTTTTCTTCTTTTTACATGTTTCAAAGTATCAAAAAGGTATGTATGAGTTTTTTATTTGTTTTTTGATAGGACATATTGTTGATGACAAGGAGCTCTGATGGCATAGTAGGAAAGGTATTTGGCTGCTAACCAAGAAGATCAGTGGTTCAAATCCACCAGCTGCTCCATAGGAGGAAGATGAGGCAATCTACTTCCATAAAGATTTACAACCTTGGAAACCCAATGGGGGTCACTATGAGTTAGAATCAAATAAATGGCAGTGGGTTTGGTTATTGTTGACAATACCTTTATTTAATAACAAGTCCTTGGTTGAAAAAACAATCTCTACTATGACCCATCATGTTGGAAAATCTTGTTTTATAAAACTTTCAGAAAACAATGAAAGGGAAGTAGGAACAGACTACATTAGAAGTTTTAGTTTGATCAGAGAAAAATAATACCATATTCCTGAAGTTACTATTTCCTTCTCCAATTTTCATTCCTTTGATTCTTACATGTCCACCATGTTTTCTTTAAAAAACAAAACAAAAATGCCAAAAGTAAAAAAAGGAGATATGATTTAATGCTATATATTTCTCTTTTGGATAATGAAAGTCTTCTATATATTTTTTCAGTTATAAAATATTTTTTCTCTCATTTCCATGCAAAACCTCAAACTGATTCTATATTGACAAATCCAATTACTTAGTTCACTATCTTCATGCTTAAAAAAGGTGTATTGTAACCTTTTCCAGGTAACAATAATAGAAGCTGAAGCACTGATTTAAACAAAATAACTTATTACTCAAAATATAATAGAATAACAAACTTTATTATGTTCAGCAGTTGCTCACTTCCTCTCACTGAGAACAAAATTTTAACACACACATACCTGTGGAACCATTGCAACCCTCTGGTTTCTTTTAGGTGACCTTGTATTTATTTGTCTGTCATCTTCATCAGAAAAGAGTCGACTTCGTTTTGAATTTCTGAAAGGCTATGACAGAATCTTTTTTATTTAATGAAAGGCTAAACATTTCCCTTTTTTGTTCCAAAATACAATTCTATATTTGGAAAACACAGCTAACACTGGATTACCAGCAATACAGAAGGATAAAGTATGGGTAATAAAAAGCACGCAATGCCGAATATAAATAATCTTAGGTTTAGAAAGTAGTAAGGTTTATGCAATTTGTTTACAAATGAAGCACCTAAGTGATGATTAAAAGTAGAATCCAAGTTTCCATAGTGCACTGGCACCCTTGAATAGTGAAGATAGGAAAATAAGTTCTGGAAATTCCAGTTCAATTATGTTGGCATCTGGGTTAATTAATACCAGTTGGGCATATCACATGATATGTCTGCCAAATAGGGCTGGGCTAGGAAAAAGATATCAGATTATTCTAGAACAGTATCCCTAAAAGTATATAATATTATACTAGTTCTGCTGTAAAAAATTGTTGGCTGAGTTTCTATTGATGACTATAAATACAAGATACACATAATGAATACCTGGTAAGTACCTATAGAACCTTTTTTTTTTTTTTTAATGTACCAAAAGGAAATTGAAATCATAGACTTAAAGATCTATAACATGAAAAATCCACAGACCACCCTAGGTTTAGAGGTTTTATTAACAGAAAGGAACAATGGAAATAACGTATCAATTGAATCCATATCCTTCCATAAGGATATCCTACCACTCAAGACAGACTTTTATATTTGAAAAGAGGGCAAATGAAAATAGTTTTAGATGAGCCTCAGGCTCACAACATATGGGCAGAATACAAATGAGTGAAGGGTAGAGGTATGGACCCTTAGAATTAAACCAGCTCAGAGTCTCAATACTCCATAGTCTTTCTATCCTGTTGCCTTCCCCTGATCATGGATGGAGAGGAAAAAGGCCGTGAGGGTAAGGGAACTGAGAGAGGGAAAGTTCCTCACATACACAGTGTTCACTTCCCCAGGCTACTGTGCCTGCTGTTGTTTATCCCAAATCCAAGTTTGTTTCATGACTGACCACAAATACTCTGGCTCAGTACGATGATATCATCCTAAGACCTGGTTGGGCAAAGGAGGGGGAGAGGCCTCAAAATCATTAGTCATACCAATTATATGCTCATCACCTCTACTTCCCACCTCTAAATGTATTTTTTTTTTTTCAACTTCCCCATTTACAGCTCAGGGACACTGATGACATTTTTCATATTGTGCCACCATTATTGCTATCCTTAAATGTACTTACTCTTGAACTACACAAGATATTAATACCTTCTCATTCATTTATGTATCTTTTTGCAGGGACCAGAGCCATGTAAAATTTTTCCATATTTAATAAAAGTATACTTTTGGAGACAGGCGTATGAGCTGAACATTTACATTAGGCATTTACTCTCTTTAGAAAGATCAATCATGGGAGAATAGAAGGGCTGTGTATGCACAGGAAAACAGCTCAAGGGGCAGTAGTGCATGGGACGGAAGGACACAGGGAAGAGGTAACTATGGGGAAGAAGTGAGAGGGGAGCTGTTGCACTGTGGGAAATTGCAGTCAATGTCATGAGACAAAGTGTATGTGAGCTGCTGTATGGAAAGTAAATTTGTTCTATAAATGTGCACCCAAATCACAATAAAAAATTTTTTTAAAAGTATACTTCTGGATTATTGAAGTGTTTTTTTTTTTTGGACTATTTAAGGAACACAATTACTTAACAAATGCTTAATGATGACCAGATTATTAATGACTACACCGAATTTAATACAATTAAATGCTGCTCAATAGCACTTAAGGACTCAAATGCTCGCAGTTCAGGGAAAAAAAACACTTGGGCAATTTTCACTGTGCCATAAAACTAGCATATGACAATAATATAGACAATTTAGCTATCATTATTCTAAAATGTAAGGAAAACTGATTCCTTACCATTTCCACAGCAGAACCTGTGTTCCTGCCTTTCCAAACAGGCGTTTTCTGTAATGAATTATACTTCTCATTCCATGTGTTAGATAAGCTTCCCTCTGTAATGAAAAATTATTAATAAAATTTAAGTTTAGTTCAATAGATTTCATACTATGAACACTACCTCAATAATAAAACAGTATACCTGCAATATTTACTAATATGAAAAAAATACACTGACTGTAGTAAGTTTAGTCAACTGAAAATGAAAAATCTCTTCTGTATTTTTTTTTGTCAAATTATATAAATAATCTGATAAGGCAATGCATTGTGAGAGAATTAAATTTTCACACTAAAACATGTTTGGCTTCTTTTCTTTCATTCTGGTTTTTAGTAGCTCCTCCATTCTATTTTGCCAACAACTATATCATTAATTTTCAGTACAATTCTGAATGAAAGCAGGGCAATGGAAAAAGCCCTTTCTAACCTGAAATTTAAAGCATATTTCAAAATGTTTTTTTTCATAAATATGTGAAGTCTTTGATAAGTGAAACTGAAATTAACATGGTGTTTCTTCTCCTTAACTCAAAAAAATGTCTTTAGAGTTATAGGCAAACTAGCAAATGTTTAGACACACTACAAAAATAAGAAAGGGTAAGTTTAATGTTTGTAAAAAGGCATGTTTATTTATAGATAGATATATAGAAAACCTAGGATGAATATACACTAAGAAATTATTTTATTTTCTTCTATTTCCTCAAGGAGCTCTGGCGGTGCAGTGGTTAAGCGCTCAGCTGCTAACTAAAAGGCTGGCAGCTTGAACCTATCAGCTGCTCCATGGCAGAAAGATGAGACAGTATGCTGCTGTAAAAATGTACAGCCTTGGAAACCTATGAGGCAGTTCTACTCTGTCCTATAGGGTCACTGAGTTGGAATCAACTTGCTGGCAATGGATTTGTTTCCTTTCATTCTATCTGCTCATTAGCATTTTCTAAATTGTTAGAAGTTTTTATTACTTACATAATTTTCTCAAAGGTTTATTTTAAAAAAAGAAATAGATTAAATACGGAGAAAAAACAGAATACCGGAATTCTTTTTCAGGTATCTATTTTAAAGAATCAAGTAAGGAAAGAAGTAGGATCAGATTGATCCTAGGCATTCTGGAAAATAACCAGTCTCCTCAATTTAGTAAATCACCAATGCAAAGCACAACAATAGTAACTTTAAAGACAAAAAGTACTAATGAATCTTTGAGAATGTCTAGCTTGAGTCTAAGTTTACTTACCTAGTAGACTCTTACTCAAGAGGTAAATTTCAACATAAACTATATTAAGAGGTTTGGTCTAATGTACCTACAAAAAAAACTGCAAGACCAAAAACCATGTCTAACTTTGTTCTCAGAGATCGAAAAGAATTAACATTCATTCTAGGAGTCCTCCATTATTACTTAAATGGTAAAATTCTTAAAAACAAACTACTATGCAAACATCCATCCCAGCATATTTGTTGAATAAATACTTTATCTAAGTAAAATCTGTCTGTAATGTTTAATTATAAAGTTCTCCAATCAATAATTTTAGGGAAAAATTTTTCCTTAATAATTTTTTAACAATTAAGAACTTTTTCTCATATAATAGCATATGAATTTAATGCTATTATTAATGAACACCAATACTTAAAAGCTATTATGCATCATAACTTAGAGGGAAAAAAGTAACACTATATTTAAATTAATTTAATGAAATTCCTAGCTTATGCTATACCTAACAATGCTGTAATTCTTACCTTTTAAACTGACAAGGGCTTTTGCTGAAGAGCCTACAATTAAAAATAAAACAAATCAATAATTAAAATTAAATCAATTATTTCACAATCAAAGTGAGAGAAAATAACTTGGTTTAGGGATAAAAGTATATCTGTTTAGTTTCGATAATGGGTTTGATGTGATGGTGAGATGTATAATTAGAAATAACTAGTAAATAATTCAAGCTATAGACAATTCAAGTTATATATACTATATATCTATATAGGAAAGAAATGGAGAGACATTGAAAGTCTTGTCAAAATTGTGAGAAAGAGAAAAAATGTAGAAAGGAAAGAAGAGTAGAGATAGAAGGAAGCAATTTGGAACTCTCCCCCAAAGTGTTCTGGTGCTAGAGAAGGAAATGAGAAAGGGAACTGACATTTATGGAAGCAAAGATCAGAAGTGCTAACAGAACAGCAAAACAGAAAACAGGGACTAGCATGGCAGGCAGTAAACCCCCTAGACGTCTAGGATGCAGGTATAAGCAACATGTAAAGATCCAGACTTCAAAGGGAGTCCAGAACAGCCAAAAAGGGACAGGAGACATTTGGAGGAGTTCACTGACTAGTCAGAACAAACTTTAGCATCTATTAGAATAATCAGGAAGCTCCTCATAAATGCTGACTGTATATTCTCATTAACTCTCCCCAGGGGATTCTGCTACAGATAAGCCTTTGAGAAATACTGGGTTGTGGTTCTTTCTTCTCAGTGAATAAAGGATGGGATCTGTGGATAAGAAGCAGGGGAATTGATAGAGGAAGAGGTTTTATGAGAGAGGGAGAGCAGTAAGTTTAAAATCTAAGAACTAGATATGTGTACTACAAAGAAGTGCAAGGCATTTGAAAAATAATTGAGGATAACCTCAAGGAATAAAGGAAGAACATGAACTATGCACAAAAATCAGAGAAGACAGATTAATTCTCCTTGGCATTTAACAAAAGTAGCAATGATCTGCAACTAATATAAATGGATACCACATTTCAAATGACAAGCAACAGAGGAAGTATGGCAGTACTACAGGCTCTGAAATATTTTTATGTATCTCAGATCCCTAAAACACAAATGATTTTTCCTCTGCAGGCCAATATGAAAATCCTAAGTCATTCTTGCTTTTACTTAACTCTCATACTAGAAGAAGAGAATGGATAACAGGACACTTCAACAACTTCTCTATGCCAAACTGAAGTTAAATGACTGACCACAGCATAGTGTGTGTGGGGGGATCCCATAAAGTCTTAATTACTAAAAAGCCCCAAACAATACAGTACTATTGAGAAGCAGCAGTAGCAGACAGTGCAAATTATCCACACAGCTAGCAAGAGTCCTGGGAGGGCAGTGGGTTAAATGCTCATTGCAAACTAAGAAATTGGTGGATCAAACCAAGTCACTTGCAAAAGAACGACCTGGTGATCTGCTTCCATAAAGACTACCCACAGACATCAAATCATTCCAACTCAGTGACCCTACAGACAGGGTTTCCAAGGCTAGAATCTTCACAGAAGCAGACTGCCACAACTTTCTCCTACAGAGCTGCTGGTGGGTTCAAACAAATGACCTTTGGGTTACCAAGCCGAGCACTTAACCACTGTGCCACCAGGGCTTCTTTTTCTGTAAAGATCACAGGTGAGAAAACCCAATAGGACAGTTCTACTCTCTGTCTTATGAGGTCCGTGAGCCAGCAACACTCCAACGTACAACAGCAATAGCAGTAAGGCTCATTCAAGAAAAACATACCCATTCACTCATTCAGCAAATAAGTATAGAGTGCTGACTACACTCATAGAATTTACATTCTTAGTGAGGTTGTTGTTGTTAGGTGTTGTCGAGTCATCTCCAACTCATAGCAACCCTATGCACAGCTGAACGAAACACCAACCAGCCCCACGATCCTTGCTATCCTTGAGCCCATCATTGTAGCCACTGTGCCAATCCATCTTATTGAGGGCCTTCCCCTTTCTCGTTGACCCTCCTCTTTAGAAAGCATGATATCCTTCTCCAGGGAATGGTCCCTTCTAACAACATGACCAAAGTAGGTGAGATGAAGTCTGGCCATTCTCACTTCCAAGTAGCATTCCAGCTACACTTCTTTCAGGACAGATTTGTTAGTTCTTCTGGCAGTCCATGGTACCTTCAGCATTCTTCACCACCACAACTAAAAAGCATCAATTCTTCTTCAATCTTCCTTATTCATTGTGAAAATACCATGGCTTGTGTCAGGCGCAGCTTAGTCTTCAAGGAGATAACTTTGCTCTTCAACACCTGAAAGAAGTCTTTTGCAGCAGATTTGCCCAATGCTGCATGTTGCCTGATAACTTTTTTTGTGTCTGATTTTTGTGAAAGTTTACAGAGCAAAGTTATTTTCCATACAACAGCTCATATATACTTTGTCTCATGACATTGACTGTAATTGCCCACAATGCAACAGCTCCCCTCTCACTTCTTCCCCATAGTTGCCTGTTCCCTGTATCCTTCCCTTCTATGCACTCCTGCCCCTCAAGCTGTCTCCCTGTGTATACATAGCTCCTCTATTCTCCCATGATTGATCTCTCCAAGGAGTATATACCTAATGTAAATGTTCAGCTCATATACCTTTTGTCTGACTGGAAGCCACAG